GATTTACTCAGGAACAAATAAAATACTAAAAAAAGCCAAATAATAACATTTTAAGTTATCTAAGTGACTTATATATCATGTTTAACCTGAGTAGCGAAAGACAGCGGGGATCTAAAAATTATGTGCCGGGAGTCCGGTGTTTTTTGCCGGCTCTAGTGAGCCTTGAACCCGGGTTAGCTATCGAGCTGGTGGGTAACAGACGACGGAGCACCTTTACAAATATGTGGAGTCTTGATAAACTGAGCAGATATTAGAAGTTTACACAGCTACATTCTTATTTATTTTGTGTTTATTTTGTGACCCAGAAAGAGGAATAAGAGTAATATTAAAACTTAGGAGCTGCCGTCATTGTTGGAAACTGGAATTGGCTGAGCTATGAATTCTGGGATAGGTTGGACCATGAAGGACACACCCGACCCATCCTTCAACTTTGGGGAAAAAGGAGGACATATTTGTCGGCCTTATTTGGAGGAGTCTTCGAATTTGCGAAGCCTTCGTCACGTCACTGGACGCCGCATTAGGAGGCCGATCACGTTCCAAAGGATGCGGCCCCTGAATTTGGACACCAGTGATGTGCGGATCGATCCTGAAATATCGATTCCTCAGATACCAATCATTTATGTTCTAGAATCAATTCTCACATTAAAATATCGATATTTTAGTAATTTAGGGTAAATTTGTAGTTTTATCATTAACAGGAACACAGTGGAAAGAAACTACATCATTCGGATTGTCTGCATTGGAAGGAACTACTTCCTCTTCCGCCTTTTATAGTCATGTGCGAAATACGGCTGTATAAATGTGTCGCCCGCTGGCGTGCGCACTCACAACAGTGGCTGAGTGTAAACGGCGTCATGTTTTACCTCCACAAACAGCCGAGACGTGGTTTGCGATATATGTGGCAAGACAGTGAGGTGTTGTGGCAACACCACTGACCTCGTCAAACACCTCAGAGTAAATCATTTCACAGAATATGACGAGCTTATGTTGAGGCGAACTGAAGAGGAGGAGGAGAAGGACAGGTGCTGCTAGGGCGAGACAGACGTCTCTCACTGAGTCCTTTAGTGCTGCAGGCAGGCAAGGTGTTCAACTAGCGCACAACTTCAGTTTTTTATTTCTAGATGATGAACTCTGCATTATTAACTGATAAGAACAAGTAATCTGATGTCCTGTAATCATTATGACGCTATAATTTGAGATACAATAAATAAAAAAGGTTTTGTACAAAGTATCGGGTCAGTATCGTCGATACCGCCCCGATCGGTGGCATCGCACATCACTGTTGGACACGGCTTCTCTTCTTCGGGGTTTAACGGCAGCTGGCATCCTTGTAGATGCGGTGCTGCCACCTTCTGTTTCAGTCCGTTATTACACTCAATCAAATCAAATCAAAATTTATAGAGCACATATTAAAACAAGAGTGTTGACCATAGTGCTTCAGTCAGTAAAAGCAGGAGACAATTAAAACAAACAATAAAACAGGACAACAAATAATAGGTAACAACACAACAAGCTAGAACAGCCAACCTGTTAGAATCAAAAGCCAAAGTAAAAAGATTTAAGACGTGATTTAAAAGATTGGATCGACTCGGCAGTGCGAACATGAACAGGGAGGTTATTCCAGAGGTGCCACGGTTGCAAAGGCCCGGTCTCCTCAGGTTGTGCTAGGAGCCTGTGATTGGACGATGTAAGTGCTCAGAAAGATAGCTGGGCGCTAAATTATTCAGAATTTTAAAAGTGAACAAAAAACTTTTAAAATCTATGTGATATGTAACACGAGCCAATGTAATTTGGCTAAAATTGGAGTGATGTGTTCATAGATTCTCGTAGCTGTTAAAAGTCGCGCAGCTGCATTTTGAATTAACTGAAGCCGGTAAAGAGAAGACTCTTAAATCCTCCTACTTATTCCTGCATCTTTAGGATCTCACACAGTCGACCCGTCTATTAAATCTGTCATCGACGTAATCGTGGCAGTCCTAATTTGTTT